TAAAGTGTATTAGTAAGGTGTTTGACTACCACAGACCTTAAGAATAGCTTCAAAGTGCCTTGGCATAGATTTGACCATCTCTGGAACTGTACTGGAGGGATGAAGACTATTCTTCCAAAAGATATTCCCTCAATTGGTGTTTTGATGATGGTGGTTGTGGAGAGCAATATTCAATAAATCCCTACAAAATCTCTCAGAGGGGTTCAGTCAAACCATTCAGTGAGTCCTCATGTGGAGGGGTCGGGGTTGTCCTGGAAAACACCACTGCCATTAGGATAAATGTAATTAATCAGAAGAATTGTGTGTTGATTAGCAGTGATAAAATTCCCTCAAATCATAACAGAATACCTTTTTTTTTTCCTTTTGTCCTGTAACAAAATGTCAGTTATTTTGAATTTCAACCTCAAATGATGAAGCATCTTGGTATCAACTTCAAGAAGTTGCACCCCATATAAATCAGAAAAGTCTGTAATGCTAATGGATTGTTGTTGTTGTTTTTTACTACTGTGTTTGCATGACTCCAGCCTGGTATTACACATTGTGTAACCAATCACCATTGGACACTACTTCTAGTCCCACCCCCAGAACCATTCATTCCTGTTGGTGCTAGAAACAAACAAGCCAAAAAAGAAAAAACATACAACTAGAATCTTTGGATAAGCACAGATCCCAGATCTGGGACCTCATTTATGAAACTTTGCATTGATTCCACATTTAAGCTCAAACAATCAGATTTATGAACTGAAATATGCCATCTCCTACTCACGATCCAGCAATCCATCCATCTATTTTCTGTGCCGCTTATCGTACACAGAGTCAAGGGGAAGCTGGATCCTATCCCAGGTGACTTGGGGCACAAGGCATGGGACACATCAGACGACGTGCCAACCCATCGCAGGGCACAATCACACACTACGTCCAAATTAGAGATGCCAGTCCGCCTACAACACGTCTTTGTCTTTGTATATGCGTGAAAACAACAGTCACCTTTTAACGCTTAAGCATTAATTATGAATTCATGGCTATAAAAAGACATATCAATTTGAAGTGGTTTTTTTTCATTTAGCATCAAACTTAGCTTACTGCTATTTTGTAGCAGAGAATAAACACGTCTCTGTCCAAACTTTTATAAAACTTCTTAATTTTTATTGTCACTTCACTAATCAGACTAGAGACTATAAATGTTATAAAACAAATCTAAGCATGTTTGTGAGAACTCTTTCCTTTCTCAGTAAGCTACCTGTGATTGGCCACAACAGAGGATCAGCTACAGAAGGAGCAATGGTTCATGCTTTTTTCAATCCGCTGAAATATTTTTGTAGGTCCGCATCCAGACCACCAGTTGATGACCCCTTCCATTAAACCTCAACAGCTCTGACCTATAGTTAAATTGGATTCTTAGTCTGTTTGACCTTAAATATGGATATCTGTGATATCTACCAGTGATCTCTGCTCTGTATTTACCTCCTACATCTCTGGCTCAGTAAGTGTTACAGTTGGAAGGTTTTCAGAAAGACTAGTCATACATGCACCCTCACTCCATCTTGGACATCTACAGAAGTTTCCGTTTTGGCCCACAATGGCTAGGACGAGACCCGTGAATCACAGGGTGGTGGAAGGTTTCAGATGAATTGGTGTATCCTATCTGCAGGAGTGCTCTTGGTCAGCATCAGTGAGAGTCATTCGGAGTCGGGGATATTACTCATCTTGCTCGTGAGGTGCGCTGAAATCCACCCACCCGAATCAGAGGCTATCACTCACACAGCCCTCAGCTGTGATTCATCATGTGTAGGCCTCAGTTGAATTCTGCTCTCATTTACATATCTGTGCATGTGAGAGAGTGACCAGAAAGTATTTTTGTGTAGCACTGAGAAGAATCCACTGAGTTTAGCAAGTTTTCCAGGTTTTAACTATATTTTCACACATATGCTGTATATTAACAATGCCTATTTTCATGTTCTTGCATGGCAGCCAAAGAAGCATTTAGAAGCTAAAAGGCCACCACAGATAGAATAATAAACACTGCCTGCCATCAAAAGGGCCTGATCCATCTGCGAAGAGTAAGCTGCAAACAAAGCATCATTGGTAAACATAAGCCGCATTATGCGCTTTACACCCCCCTGCACCCATAAATCACCATACCCAATTTCTAAGCTGCTAAATATAAGCACAAAATGGATACAAACTCCTGCCAAACATAAAAACGTTCACTGTCTTCAGACACAGCTGTGCTGAGAAAAAGCACATCCTTGGTTAATTGCGACCAATTTTGAGTAGTATTTGAGCTCATCTGATATGTTTATTTTATTATAACCTTTTCCCCCGTAGGAAAATCTTGTGGATGTATTTATGCTTATAGGGCTACATTCCTGGCAAATGTACATAAGCCTTCATAAAGCCTCATCATCAGCTGTCATAAGTATCACTTTTAGTCATCTTGTTCCTGAGTCACGTGACATAAACCTGTGATATATAACGCATTCTGGGTTGACGTACAGTTGAACGTCACGATGGCTGACTTCGTGGCTCGATGTATTTCAGCACATCAGAGTACATGGTAAATGGTCTGCACTTATATAGCGCCTTTTAACCTTAGTGGTTCTCATTCATCCCATTCACACACACACACACACACACACACACACACCATGCAAGGCAGCAACTTGGGGTTCTTGCCCAAGGACACTACAGCATGTGGAGGGAACAGATAATATGAAGATGGATGGATGGATGGAATTAGAAGTAATATATAAGTAATATATAATAGGCAGGGGGTGCATGGTGGCTTCGTGGTTAGCAAGTTTGCCTCACACCACTGGGGTTGTGGGTTTGATTCCCACCTCCTGTGCCTCAGGGGTTTCCCTCGGATGCTCCAGTTTCCTCCCCCAGTCCAAAGACCTGCAACGTAGGCTGATTGGCATTTCCAAATTTTCCATAGTGTGTAAGTGTGTGTGCTGTGATGGGTTGGAGAAGTGATACAGAAAATGGATGGATGGATGGATGAATAATATATGATCAGAATATCATATATTACCTAATAATAGTGTGTAGCCCTATTGTCTCTGTTAATGCCTACATTGGCTGTGATTAATTTACAATAGTTTCCTAATCAAAAATTGATGACATTCACAATAGGAAATATAGAATGATAAGATGGAGAATGAGAGATACCTATAAAATATTTCATTACATACTGCATAAATAAGAAGTGTTTGTGTGGGCATGATGCCCACTGCTTTTTTTTCTGTCTTTTCCTCCTGAAGCTATTTTTACACATTTCTCTCATTTCTCAGATTTCATTTTATCCTATAAGATAGTAGTCATTTTTGTCGTTCATACTTTATTATAACTTTTCCCCCCATAGAAAAAGCATGTAGATGTATTTATGCTAATACGGCTGCATTCCTGGCAACTGACATAAATGTACATAATCTTTCATAAAGCCTTATCAGCTGTCATAATTATCACTCTTAGTCATCTTGATCCTGAGTCACGTGACATAAACCTGTGGTATATAACACATTCTGGGGTTGACGTACATTTGAACGTCATGATGGCTGATTTTGTAGCTCGGTGTATTTCAGAACATCAGAGTAAATAGTAAATGGTCTGCACTTATATAGCGCCTTTTAACCTTGGCTCTACAAAGCACTTTACACTGTTTCTCATTCATCCCATTCACACACACACACACACACACACACACACACACACACTCACACACACCATGCAAGGCAGAAACTTGGGGTTCAGTGTCTTGCACAAGGACACTACAGCATGTGGAGGGGACAGATAATACGAATGAATGAAGCTGGATACATATTTTTTTTACATATTAGCTGTTATATCTGGGATACAAACAGAGTGAAATTCTGCAGCTTGTTTTTCCATGCCTGAGCAGGAGGTGTCAGGTCTCAGCTCAGTACTTCATTTAATTAATGGCAAAAGCAGAGAAAAAAATGGCAAAAGCAGAGAGCAGATCTCATAATTAATCCAGTTTGATAAACAGAATTTCCTATTAGCGTGGGTCGTACCCCAGCACCACTGCTCCCATATAAAGGATCAAGGCCCATAATCGTTACCTCTGTGTGTGTATGTGTGTGTGTGTGTGTGCTTATTTAGCTCTTCTGGGTATTAAGGTTAGGGTTAAGTGCTGCCAACACATTGTTTAGCTACAAAAGTACATTAACCAATCAAATAAAGTTCAATTCGATTGATCATATTCATTTCATTAAATCTGAAAATGTACAAAAATGTGAAAAACCTAAATGAACTGAATGAAAGCCTGAGCTTTTGCAGTTTATTCCATGAAATCAAAGCCTTCTTTAACATTAGGACTACTGCTTATTTTCCATTCCTATATCAAAAGTGTGTACACTCTTAAAACAGATGTGTTCATTGTCAACACACCTCTGTGTCTAGTTAAGGACAACACATTTTGTGTTGCTTTCAACTCAATCAGTGTGTTAGTACATTTTCACACAGTGTTGTTTGTGCGTTTTCCTTTCCAATTATCCTGTTAAATGATGTTACAGAATCCCAAACTGTGTAATTTTGGAAGTGTGACGTCCACTCTCTCTTTATTTTCCCGCCTTTAGCACCTCACCGCCAATTTTTTTGCACAACCTAATGAAGTTAACCAACGTTACAGAGATAGTGGAAAGCATTACAACCTAAACCCCGTCTTCTCTTTTTGTCACTTTAACCTTGTGAAGAACTTTTGGCCTCGACATTACTTAGCTAGCTAAGTTCTGTTAGCCACTGACTGTCTGCACCTGTTACCCAGCATTAACATTTGTGGAATTCATGAAGAACCCATCCTAACCCATCCTCCTAATGCTAATTACTACAGCTTGCATTGTTCAAAACACCTGCTAAATGTCCATCCATCCATCCATCACTCCATCCATCTTCTAACGCTTACTCCTTCTTCAGGGTCACGGGGAACCTGGAGCCTATCCCAGGAAGCATCGGGTACAAGGCGGGGTACACCCTGGACAGGCTTAGTGGCTTAGTGGTTAGCACGTTCGCCTCACGGGTCCGGGGTTCGATTCCCACTGGGGCCGTGTGTGGGGGTTTGTATGTTCCTGTGGGGGTTTCCTCCGGGTACTCCGGTTTCCTCCCCCAGGTGTGTGAGTTTGTATGTGATTGTGCCCTGTGGTGGCACAATCACTGGCACCCTGTCCAGGGTGTACCCCGCCTTGCGCCCGATGCTCCCTGGGATAGGCTCCAGGTTCCCCACGACCCTGAACAAGGAGTAAGCGCTAGAAGATGGATGGGTAGATGGATGGTGTTGTGTGAAATTTTTTACTCTTTTTTAACACATTTATTGGATCATTTTACACAACATGTGTTGAAATGGTGATAACACAAAAAGTGTGAAGGATATTAACACATCCTTTGTGAGAGTGTACATGTAACCCTTTTATCCTTACTTTCTCTTTGATTTCTGGACCTTTCCATGCCATCACAGTGATAATCAGTACCAAATGCATCCTGCTTTGTACAGTACTCCATTGCTCCATCTTTCCATCACACTCTTCACTGACTTAGTGGTTTCCGTTACTGACTCATTTAGCTGCTGAACTGAGCTTTTTCGTCAGGTGACAGGTGTAGCACTCAGTCCTGCAACAGCACATAATCATTTGATGGATGTGTTGAAAAAAGAGCTTCCATAAAAAAAAAATTATGAAAAAAAACCCAAAAACAACATGAAGCCATAACGCATGGCACAAGAGGAGATGCAGTCAATTGTACAATTGTTAGCACCCTTTTAAAAAAATGGGCAAAAATAATATGTACAAAAAATGTTGATGGAATGAATCAAATTTTCCATTCAGACAATCTTCTAACACTGGCTTTCATTGTCAGGGCTGATGTAATAGTCTGAATGCGGCTTTTATCCTAATTTTTCTCCCAATTCTTGAAATTATAGCTTCTTTTTTTTCAGTAATCTTCAGTAAGCATTTTATCCTGGTCAGAGTCACAGTCGATCCAGAGTCTCTTGGGAACACTGGGTGTGACCTTTGCAGGGTACCATACACATACTCATTCACACATTCACAAATGTGCCAATTTAGAGTAGCCTGAGAACTCATAGGAATCGCTAACCTAAGCACAGGATTGAACCAGAGACCATGAAGCTGTGAAGTGACAACTCTACTCACTGTGCCATAGTGCCACCCGCTGTTTCTAATATTATCTTATATATCTAGTTACAACCTTTTTATATTAGTTATAATATAGTTATATAAGATAATTATACAGGGGAGGCACTTTGTAAAAACAAAAGGCTGTAATTCCTAAACAGTAAAGTTAAACTTCTTTATTAAAGCTGAAAGTCTACACTTCAATCACATCTTGATCGCTTCATTTCAAATCCATTGTGGTGGTATACAGAGGCAAAATTATGAAAACTGTGTCACTGTCCAAATACTTATGGACCCAACTTTTTTTTACGCAACTGGAAAAGATTCAAAATTCGCTGGTATCCGGGGACGACCATGTCAGACCTTCATGAGGGCCCTGTAAAAAAGGAGGCTAAAATATTTTAATAGCTTTTAGCAATTTCAGAACATTGTGAATTGCCCTGTTCTTTTGCACCTTCGTTGACGTTATTGCTTAGCTTAAGTTGCTTATCAAAACAGCAGTGTAGAGTAAATGTTCCATCTAAAAAAGATCTGGTATTGAGCTGACCCCCAAGCTCAGATGGTCCAGAACCACTACATGTATTGGAAACATCATATTATTAATCATCTATGAATAGCATTTCATCCAATTGCCTAATGACCCTGAAACATCTTGAGCTGAAATGATAACTCAGGTAGGATTTATGATACACAATAAAATCATTCTATAGAAAGGAGAAAATTACCACCCTGTAGTCCCAGTTCCCAGTCCCAGTCCATAATAAATAGGAGGGAAACGTTTCTCATGTCTGCCAGTGTGTCGTGAGCTCCAGAAGGTAAAAGTGAAAAGATTCAGTGAATTTCAGCTTTTGATTGTCAGGCAAATTGGACAAGGGTTACAGTGACCCAGCACAGACGGAGAAGTTTACACATTACAAATACATTACCTGCTAACAAGCTCACCCCATTTCCTTCTCTTACTCTCTGTAGCATCTGATCTCTGTGATGCTGCCGGCAAATTTATTTCCGTAACAAAAAGCTTATATAATATGATGAGCATTTCTCAGAAAGCAGATTTGGGGATTTTCCTGTAAATGTTCTTGATTATTTTATTCTTTTCATCCTCTAGGCTTTCATCTTTTCGTTTCCAAATGTTCTCTTGTCTTGTTTCTCTCCTGATGTCCCAATTTCAAAAATCTTTTCAAAATCACAATATGTGCATCTCTCTCTCTCTCTCTCTCTCTCTCTCTCTCTCTCTCTCTCTCTCACACACACACACACACACACACACACACACACATATATAACTAAAAATTAATCTTTCTGATATATCTCTATGAATTGACAGTGATCTCCTTTTCTTCATCTTGCCATCAAACTACTTACTAATCAAACACTTGGAATAGTGTCTGCACCTTGAAATAATCTTTTGTTGTACTTCACATTATAATGAAGATGATCACATACTAATTCGTGGATTGTTAACACTTTCTTGTTGACCCCCACATTCCTGTGGGTCTTCCCCAAACTGTTGCCATAAAGTTGGAAGCTCACAATTGTATAGGATGTTTTTGTCTGCTGTAGAATCACAATTTCCCTTCACTGGAACTAAGAGGCACGAAACTGTTCCAGCATGACAATGCCCCTGTACACAAAGCGAGGTCCATTAAGACAGGGTTTACCAAGGGTGGAGTGAAAGAACTTGAGTGGCCTGCACATCAATCTCATAGCCCTGACTCCAATCCCACTGAACACCTTTAGGATGAATTGGGATGACACCTGAGCACCAGGCCTTCTCACCTGACATCAGCGCCTGACCTCAGTAATACAGTAAAATAAGGTGGCTTAGTGGTTAGCATGTTCGCCTCACACCTCCAGGGTTGGGGGTTCGATTCCCACCATGGCCATGGCCAGGCTCCAGGTTCCCCTGAAAAGGATAAGTGGTTTAGCAGATGGATTCTATAATTTCAGCTAATTCACAGGGACTGGTATGGACAACACACCTATACATTTTATTATGTATAATAAAAAAAGAACAGATTTTTAAAATATGTTGTTAGTTAATAAATAATCCTAAATACACTTGCTGATATGGTGATGTTTTCTGGAAGCAGATTTGTTTAAAATTTCTAGAAGGAGTCTCCAGTGTCAGGGCTTTGTAACAGTCAGAGATAAAGCTTGGGAAGCTCTTCAGGATTTTTCTGTAACATGACCAGCTGGTGAGGAAACAAGTTATAACATTTATGACAACAGGAACTAACCTAGTGGACATTCCATACCATTAACAGTACCTTTAAATGAATAAAATAAAAAACCTATGAAATCTCACTCTTTAAGCAATAAAAAATTGCAGTTGTTGGCCTAAAAGATATGGTACACGAGGAATAAAACATATGGGAAAATAATCGACTATGGAGTGGTAACATTGATTTTTTCCTATAGCAGCATGCTCTATTGTATTTTAATAATTATGCAACAGAATGCTAAGATTGGACAAGATTTTTGGTCCCTGAATTACACTGAATTATTAGAAATAATTTTGTGGCTTCCAAGGTGATAAATAGGAACACATACAAAGAGTAAAGAAAGTAAGGTGAAACAGGTATCAGCACAGTAAGGCATTTTTGTTTAGCATCATAGTTTTACTGAATTTACCCATAAATGTTCATATTTCATTTACATTTTCCACAATAACCTTAATAACGTATTAAAACGGTGGTAACTTAATGTTTAGGGCGTTTTACTATTGCTCAGAAGGGCGTGAGTTCAAATCCCAGCATGGCCAAGCTGCCACAGCTGGACCCTTGAGCAAGGCCCTTAACCCTCAACTGCTCAGTTGTATAAGTGAGATAAATGTAAGTTGGTCTTGATAAGGGCATCTGCCAAATGTATGAAGAAAATTATTAATGGAAGAAACAGACTGGAATATGTCCAGTGCTGCTTTCCCCTAGGGGTAGGAGTAAATGTATAATAGTTTGAGCCAGTGTAGTGGCAGGGAAAGTAGGTATTTACTGTAAGCTGCATCTCAGCATTAAGGATTATTATTGTGAGAAAAGTCTTAACTCTGCTCTTTTATTTTATTCTATTTTATTTTGTACTCTTTTTTCTCTTCATCCTTTGCATATTCTGTGTTCTTTGAAAGACTGTGATTTGCACTGAAATATTTCTGGTCAATAAAAAGGATTGTGTGGATAGCCCTGCTCTCACCTCCCCATGACCCCTATGACCTCACTTCCTGACAACGTACCGCCTTATCTCATAGTCTTTTTAATCCACACTGAATACCCAGCTTCATGATGTTTATACCAGTCAGTTAACAGATAGACCTTGTCTGACTTTTTATATTTTGTATCTTGGTACTTACAATCTTGTACTTAACTAAAAATAATTACCCATTACTTTGGAGTTTGTACCACACACACATACCTGCTTAATACCTAAACCTTAGGGGCCCATATAAGAGAGTGTTACTCATGGATTTAGACAGGACATAAGCATGGAATTAGGGAATTATAGCCAAAGAGCCACTAACCTGCCCTTAATCTGATAGTGTACTTACATTATATCTCATTTTATTGTCAGCCCATTTATAAATCCAATCTGCTCAATGGGACAATTTACATCGTTTTGATGTAATGACCATGGCCTAATTTATTTGAAACATGTTCCGGATAAACCAATATCTGCATCATTTCTAAGGACATAAATGACAATAAATTATGTTTAACTTCCCCTAAAATGACCTCAAGCATATATTTTCCTTTATATTATGACCACTGCAAGTATAACCCTGCTAACATGGATGGATGGATGGATGGATAGATAGATATTACTTTTACTATGTTTTGCAGTTTACTGCCAGTCTGTATTGGCTGTTTGTGCTGTCAGTCTCATCCTTTTTGCTTCTTCTTTTGCTTGCTTCAATGCTCCGTTTTAAA